TAAAGAAGAGAGAGAGAGAGAGAGAGAGAGAGAGAGAGAGAGAGAGAGAGAGAGAGAGAGAGAGAGAGAGAGAGAGAACAAACCCAAAAGATGGGTGAGACAAGTCAAACGTGGTACTTTGAACAAAGAACAAAGCAGCTTATCGGAGAGAGCCGGGCTACACACAGGGCCGTCTGGCTTACCTTCTTGACCTTTTTCTTCTTGACTTTGTTGGAAGCCTCGTCCTTATCCAGGGCTGATAAATGAGTATCCTTAGTGTTGGCGCTATCCTCGCCCGTGCGTCCAGACTTGCTCTTGAGACAGCCATTCCGCTTGGTAACACTCTGAGGCAGACACACAGAAGGAGAAACATTAAGTAATGACAATGAGTTTCTTGTTACATCGGGTTCCTTTACGAGAGGGGGGGGGTGCTGGGGAGGGGGGGTTGTTTGTTGATATGTTGATTGGTTGGTTTGTACTTTTTTAGTGAGAGTTTTACGGCACTTACAACACAATAAAGTCATATAAATGCCGAAGATTCAAGGTGTTACAAGAGTAACAAAACACACAAAGGAGGGCAGATAAGGACAAAAGACGTTTGATAGGAAAGAAGGAGCAAGCCACACCAGAGCACCCGCCAACCCACTCCCTTTTGGTGGGGAGGGGGGTTATTAGGGGAACAAAATTCAGACCGCATAGAGGCTAAACGAGTTTAGTTAGATTAAACTTAAGTGAAAAGTATATACTATGATTCATTTGGATAGCAAGAACACTGTTTTCGAGCTTCCAAATGTACGACAACACCGGTCGCTGCTTTCTCCAAGCACACAGATTTGAACCACAGAAAAGCTATTACGTTACACGCCCAAGAATTCCGCCAGCAAACTACAAGAACCAAATTTTATGTTTTTTAAAAATTGAGTCACTAAATTACGCTCAACACACACATACACCCTGTCAGCTAAACGCCGAAACAAGCTGCATAAAAATGCGGTTGTCAAAATAGAATCACAAAAACAATGTATCAAGGGTAGAGAGAAAAACAAACTTTGGTGAAAATACAGTTCCCTGTCCGACCTTCTGGAACCTGTTTTACGACGCTGAAAAACACGCAGCAACGACCACAAATGTCTCAAATTGACACGTGGGGTAATAGAACAAAAGTCCCGACGACAGACAGAAGGAAGGACAAAAATGCAAAGTACATTTCATTGTACATTTACAAACCAGAGAACAGGTCGAAACTCGGCGCCACAACTTGTCTTTGTAACACACGGAACAGGGAGGGACGACACAGGACAGGAAGGAAGGAAGGGAGGGAGGGAGGGAG